GTCCAATAACTAAGATGTTATACCTTAATTTATATCAAAAAAATATAATAATATTTTATAAAAAATATGAAATATGAAATATGTTATGCTATTGTATAACAAAAACCGAGCATAGTGGGGTCGCGGAATAGTTTAAATGAGTATAGGTGATATTTGACATTGATTAACATCTTTATTATAAAAATGCCTCGATGCAAATATCTACATTTAGTTAGTGTTTAATTTTTTTTAATGAAGTTTAAATATAATGTATGAATAAATAATAATTTGATGTTCAATAGTTAAGTATTATAGTTTTCACGGAGAAATTATAAAAAATGTTAAAGCAGTTGTATATTTCATTACCTTAATGGCAAAAGTGTATCAAAATTGTAAATAGAAAAAAAAAAAAAAGTTAACTTTCTTAATTTAATTTTTCTGGTCATTGTTAGTTAATTATAATTTCAGTTATAAAAAATTTAAATTGCAATTTATCATATACCTTTTATTATACTTATTGGATGGACAAAGTTGCAAAAATTCTCTCCGAGAATAATTATTGTTAACATAAACATCTTAATTACTCATTTATTTTTTGTAAAAAAGGGGTGTTTAAATGTGGTACTTACCTCGCACTACAATTTGACTTTACTGTTTAACATAAAATATAGACATAATTAATTACAAAAAAAAATTGAAATTTTGCACGGATTATTTTTAACATATTAAAAATGAATAATAATTTAACAAAAAAATTATTTATAATTAATTTTTCCATGTTTCAAAGGATTTTTTTTTATTATTTGGTGATTATAAGTTCAACAAGATTAAAACCGCGTTCTTTTAACGTATTGGTTATTAAATTTTGTCAAATGAGAGCTGAGAAAATTAGTTACAGGCACAAAAAAAATATAAAAATAAGAATAAACACATCAAGATAAAATTACTAGAATAATTAAAATCGAAGCTAAAAATTACTTTATGCTCAACTAGGCTATTAAATTCAATAATTTAATAAGCATTTAATATTTGAGTGTAATTTTAAAACTAAGAAATTGTAAGATTACAAATTAACAAATTATTGTGGAATTTAACAATTTCGCATTAAATCGCTTTTTATGATAGTGATGCAAATCACTGTAAGACATGATATCATCTATACTTATATTAACTATACCGAGTCCTCACTATGTCATAACACCACTGTACAGTTCTTTTTTTTAGTTTTTGTTCCCGTAAAATAAATAAAGTGGAAATAATATTTTTTGATAAGTTACCCATAAAATTTTCTCAAATTCATATCCATAATATACAAACAAGAGATGCAAGAAACATTTAGTTAGAACATGCAATATTGTGGTGGACTTCTGCGTGTAATCGATAATGTACTTCGCGGTATAACTATTATTTTTCATGAAGTATAAATAATTGTATCAACTAATGTATTAAGGAGTAACGAACAACAGTTTGTCGAAGCCACTTTGTGTATTTAGGAATGCGGGGGCTCTATCCTATACATAAACAAAAGAGCTTTACATTTGTTTTGCTCAAAATATTTATTCGGTATTACTTTTCATTACAATTCCTATCATAATTACTCAAAGACACCAGAGTCGTAGCTACACACTGGTAAGGGTGCATTTTCCAGGGGTATAATTATACTATTTCAACTAGTGTCGTTTCATTCAGTTATGATAATTATTTAAATAATTTATAAAAATTGATCGTACATTTTATTGTTCAAATAAAGATCATTCTAAGGCTGTGTAACAAATAAATTGGGTGCTTGGGTCTCAAATTTAGTTCGTTTCAGAGGCAATATTAGTTCTTGCTACGGCTCTTTATAACACTAGAAAAAATATAAAATGTTCAATAAATTGTATGCATATTAATAAAACAATTAAATTAAATAAATCTTAAAAATCAATATAAATTAATTTAAAAATGTGCCTTTTTGACACAATTAATAAATATATAAACACAATTAAATAATAATTAAATAAGAAATATCAACTGTGTGACCAACATTTTAAATACATGACAAAAATATCAATAGTTTGATTGAGATTTAACTACTTTAATATGAACGTGTAATAATCCGTGTAATCTGCGGGTATTAGTTGTACTTAATAATTGTAATAATAAAATTAAGTAAACCATTTTAACCATATGTTGATTAACTAATTAGAAACAAAAATGTTTTATTAAAGTTTTTAATCGATTTATAATGTGTATGAAAAATTATACTTTAAAATACTTCAATAAAAATTATTAAAATATAATAATTATGAATATATAATTATTAATTATTAAAATATAATAATTATGAATATAATTATTAAAATTATTTCTATAAATACATTTATTTTATTATATCAATACAAGGTCGGCTAGTCGCGTTAGACATCATACCACCCATAATTTTTTAAAATTTATAAATGATGCATACACTTTTAATTTAGAAAAAAAACATGTATTTGAAATGAAGAACATATTAATAAAAAAAATAAAAGAAGTTATATTTTTTGTTATTTTACGATTATTTTAATTTTAATATGAAACTGAGAGGGCATTAATTTTACTATGATGTATATCTTTTTTGTCTATTTTTGCTTTATTTTAGTTTCCATCAGACTAATTGGGACGTTTATTTCGTTTAAATAACACAAATTATACTTACATTAAGATAGTACTATTAAAAATTAATAAAAAGAACATTTTTTTGAGGAAAAACAATTTTTTTATACGTAAAAATACCTAAATACATAAAAATCCTTAAAATTTTCTTTTAGCACATCCACATCAATGCGCTTTATTTATTAAAAAAATGTCGACTAAAATGGTAAAATATATCTGTATGATCTCTCTTAGGGATACCATTGCTATTCAGTATTGCTTGATTATTAAAAAAAATTCATAGTCTATCGAAAGAATTTTTAAATTCACTAAATAACTACATTGCAACCTATTTTAACGCTCTTTCTAGTTAAATTTTATTTTATTTCTATTTTTTTCCTATTTTATTTCTTTTAAATGGCAAATATCTATGGCTTCAAATTTTTATAAATTTAAGTTAACTTCCTCTTAATAAATATATGTTATGTCCACAGTTTTTCAATTGAAATTATCTTTCATTTATATATGGCAATTTAATTTAATTTAATTATAAATATAATTATTTAATTTAAATATACAATTTAATTTAAATTTTCATATATGAACATGATTTACACTGGCGTAATTATGTATGTCGTATATGTTGTATACAACAAAAATAATTACTTAATGAAGGTACACTTTTCTTATATGCTCAATATTCAAGAAAATAATTTCAATTATTCATGAAATTTGACGTGGTTCCTTACTAATTAAACACATAGCCTTTCAAAGCGTATGATTAATGCATTAAAATTAAGTAAATCATTAAAATTATTTAACAAGTTACTATTTTTTACATAAATATCATATTAAATTTAAGTATATTATAACATTGTAAAATTGAAGCTAACATTTTTTTAGTTACTTTTAACTTAGCTAAGTTAAAACTTGTATAGTAGTTAGACTTGAATTTAATATAACATACTATTTTCTAAAGTAATATAATTTTAAAGTTATATTAATATTATTGCGATTAATGATAGAGTAATAAAAAAATGTAAAATAAATTATAATTTTCTTAACAAAATCGATTATTTTTCAATCGTGTTATTATAAAAAGTGATTATCTAAATTTAGAAAATAATTGTTCTATATTAACTAATGCCGTTAACTGGGACGTTTTACACGAAGAAAGTAATTTTTCACTAATTTTAAGGAAAGACAAAAAATCAAATAATTCTACCCATTATAATTAATAATTAATTAATAAACATATTTCTTAAACTATATTCTATATTAAAAGTTTTTAAATTACTTTTTATTAAATTTTATTTTTTACGTTCGAAAAAATTAATATTTTTCACTGAACTTAAAAGTGACTGAGAATCGTTATCCTCATATTGATATCTAATATTTAAAAATACGTTAAGTTTTCCATTGTTGGTTATACTGTGTGCATGTGTGTGTAATTTTAGGTGATTTCTTTTATAGCGGCCATTCTAAGTCTTTTAAAGATATTTGGTTGATCGATTTTACGTAATACATTTGTTTCTTAACTTCACATTCTTAAGTAATTTATTAATTATTTTCTCTGGAGCTATTAAGCTGTATACTTTTTACTTATTATTATAAAAATGATAAATTTAAGTTTTATATTGTTACTATGGAATTAAAGCATTGGTAATAACAGTATTTGTTGATAATTGACAAATGTTTTATATGCTGAAAATTATTACTATAATTTTTTTTTTACAACCGTTAGGTTGTGGTTAACAGCAATTATATTGTTATATCCTGGGGATACTTTTAAGTGCAATGGTTTTCCATTACCTTCTGCACTGAGAACATGATGCTTTTTGCCACTGTAAAATTGCATGTATGGTTGTCACCCGTTCTTTACATCTACTACGGTAGGCGCACCTTAATTAACACTAGTTTTGTCAACAACTAGTGTGACCACCGTGCAACATCACTCCGTACGAGAAATCTATTTAATGACTATTTTATTTGATAATAACTATCAATATTTAGACTTGGTATACACATTTAATGTAAATTGTTTACTAAAATGACTAAAATGAACCGTAAAGTATTTATAATGGATGTTGATAAAATGACAAGTCACCTTAAGATGACTTGTGCTTTTCTCATATAAAATGTTCAACTAATTACTCAATTATAGTATCTTAATACCAAACGTCAATAATACTGTAAAAATGTATTTATAAAAAAAATGTTTTGTCAGAAGAAATTTTCAAGAGATGAATAATTAATATTGTTCATACTATTGAAATAAAATATTGAAAAATAACGTAATAAAAAAATATTTAAAAAAACTAGCGTTACAATTTATTATCAATCACAGCGTATTATTACATAAATATATTTAATTCTTATCAATTATTTGAGTCCAGTGTCAGTTTGATTTAATATTATAGTAATAAAAATTCATTATACACTAACTATACATATATAATATTACAAATATTTACATAATTTTTATTACATTACTACCAAAGATGTAAGATTGGTAAAATAATTAACTTTAAATATATTTAAAAACTATACATTTAATATAAAGCTCAAATATTTTTCCGTGATAAATAATTAATGTGACTATTAATTTATTTTTTAGCTTGTATGCCTTGTTTAAACTTCAAATTAAGAATTGAAATTAAAACAGCTATTAATATCCAAATAATTATTGATACAAAACCACTAAAAATATCAATATGTTGTATACCCCAATTCCTTGATATCATTGATCTAAAAGCTTCAATAGATAATGTTAGAGGTAAAATTTTAGCAAAATTTCTGATTATTGGATGCATTGCTTCAGTTGGCCACATTAAACCTGATGACATAGATGTATTAATTATATTTTTATTAAACTTTATCTAATTTTATTCATCACTATTAATAGATCAATTGTTAACATTTACAATCTTAGTATAAATTATTTAGCATTTATAAGTTTTAATTTATCTATGAAGAAGGAAATAATATATCAAATTATGTATTTAAAATTATTACTTATTTACACTTACCACTTAAAAATACTTGTGTTAAGACGATACCTATTCCTATAAAAGTTGTTGTCCTTTCTTCGTTGAATGCTATACTTGACGCAAAGCCTATGAAAAAAATGATATAAGTTATAGAGAGGATAATTTTTTTTTTTAACAATTCCACTATGACATGGCGATTATTAACGTCATTTCTAAATTTTAAAATTCTCCTTCAGAGATTACAAATTAAGATAAATTAATCATTTAATAATTTTTACCTAAAAATGTTCCACAAATTCCTTGTAAAAATACGATTGTTAAAGGTCCTGCCCAAGGACTTAAGAAAGGAAAATCAAAAACAATAAATTGTAATGTGAAAATAGTGAATGTTTGAATAACGAGCATGATGATTTGTACTATTAATTGTGACAAAAGAACTTCAGTTACTGTTAGACCTAAAAAGTTAAATTTTGCATTATATTAAGAGCAAAAATAATATTTTAAAAACTTTATTTTTACATATGTAAACTTTAAAAAAAAAAAACAACTTTTAAATATCAAGTACCTGCAGAAAGGCTTCTTTCCATGAGTCCACGATTTTTTTCCATACAAATTGATAATGCAGTAAAAAGAAATGTTAAATAAAATTCCATACTAAAACAAAGTTTAACTATAATGATAAACAAATTTTTTATTTTGGTCCAAAAATTAAGTGTTTCATTTCATGTTACAATTAATTTAAATTGATACAAGATTTAACGATCATAACAAAAAATGTTTAAAATACCCTGTATCAATAAAAATGTACTGTTATCAAAAAAAAAGACGCTTGCCTTTAGTACTAGTTAATATATAATTTGTTTATTTTTTAGTTTTAACTTTTAAAAAAATTCGTTTGCAAGTGAAAAATTTTAATATTTTATAGTTATTTTGTGTATAAATTATAAACTAAACAAAATTAATTAACTAAATTATGAGGAATTTTAAAGGACATTAACATATAAGTAGTAAAAACTTTGTTAAAAAAAAACAAAAAATCTACTTTGGTTCGGTTTGCTTACATCTTTAACCGAGAATAAGAATTACTAATTTATAAATATTTCCAGGTGTTCGAAAGATGTAGTATACGTTTTTTTTGTGATATTAATTAGGCCATTAGTATAAAAAAATGAAAAACAATGAATGTCAGGATTATTAGGTGCTGTCACTTTTGTTATGCGTCTTTTCGATACGTGACTGCTCATTATGAATTTATATACTTTATTAAAAAGTTTTGTTGTTTCAAAACGGAGAGCTTATTATTGAATTAACAAGATTAATTATTTTAGTATACACTGAGTTTATATGTCTTAATAATTTCGTTGAAATTATTTTCTTTGTAATATGAGTATTAAAACAATGTGGGTGTACTAACATTGATATTATTGCCGGTGTTCCATATTCAACTATATTCACTTTTAATTTACCAAATACTGGTTCCATTATCTAGATTTTAATAAATATTAATACAGTTTATTCAATTCAGTAAAATAGTTACATGTATAATAGTAACTAGTGATTTTACCTTAAAAGGTCGTGGATCAATATAACGCACTGATGTAGAATTACAATGATTGAATGCTTTACTAAGTTCCTCAAAACTATTAATTAATTTACTTTGAATTAGTTTACTAATAATAAAATCTGAAATTGACGACAAAAATAAATTATTAAAAAAATTTACAATCAGAATTAAAAGTAGTCAGTTACCAGACATATCTATTGACGATGATATTGTCATGTGTTCAAAATCTTCAGAACTCATACCAAAAGAATCATCGTATCTTTTATTTATTAAGTTTGTGAAGTTATTTGAAAATAATAAATAACCCCAAATATTATTGTATAATGCATCTGATTTGGCTAACTCTTCATCATCATAATATTTCTACTCGAAGATGAAAGTTTTATTAATAAAAAGTGGTTGCAGAAATCACGGCATGTGTGATTTAAAGTCTATACTTTTCTGAGTGATTCTTTTATCATTAGCCACTCACTCAACTTTTCTTAAAATGATAATTTTTTTGTGTATCTTTTTTACTTTAGTTAGTTACATATATATACAGGATGGCCCACCATTCACTGACAACTTAAATAACTTTTGATCCAGTAAATATTTTTAGCTGATTTTTTTTTTAAATATTAGCTAGACGTTAGGTCTATAGCTATATCTCAATAATTCATTTTTTTACATTTTATTAAAAATATTAATTATTTTAAAATTTTAAATAAAAAGTAAAAAAAAAATCTAAGATAGCTATTTTGTAGAGTAGAATTTAAGAAAAATTTTAGTAAAAAAATATCTTATTAATATTCAGTAGTAAATATTCTGTAGCGTTTTGAAGTTTGTGAAAATTTGAATTTTCATGTACTATTTTACGGTTATAAACATTGAAATACGTATTGAGAAAAGGACAGAAGAAAACGCTATCTTTTCATGATTACTGTGTATACATATGATGATAATGTGTATACNATTTATCTGTCATAAAATAATTCTTATTTTCATCCCCTATATCTTATAAGGATGTTAGCTTTATTTTTCAATAGCAACGTACATAATTAATCTGGTTATGATAATGATAAAATTAAAAAATGACTGGTTGATAACAACTTTAATTTAAACAATGTTTCAGAAGTTATTAACTTTTTTATACCTATATGGGAGGGAAAGTACGGCCGGGAACTGATTAGTGATAAAATAGCAACACCCACTACTTACCTCCAGTTATTACTTTAAATTTTTAATAACTTATGAAATACTGGACTATAAATTTGTATCGATCAGTCATTTTCTTAATTAAATCATTATCTATTAAATAAGTTAGTTGATTATATATATTTCCCTTTAAAAAATTAAGGTTGACACGTTTATAAGATATAAAGGAAGAACATAAAAAATACTTTATGATTGATAATTTAAGAAAAATATGTAACTAAAACAAAAAACAAATAAAAAAATTGTTAATATAAATTTTTTTTTGATTAATTAAGTGGTCAATGATACAAGAATCGCCTATATAATATATTACTGATAATATTCTAAATAGCTAAAACAAAATTTTACCATAAATTAACATTTTAATTATTAATTGATACAACATATAAAATCATATAACGATTTTTTTTATTTAATTTTTTTCTGCATTAAAAAACTTCAATCACAGTTGGGTCATTAATTTACTTTAATTTTCATAATTTATGAATTTTAATAATTATATCTCTATTGTAAGTCAATATTTTAAATTGTTTCAAGTCTTAGACACCTTGTATATATATATTTATACATATAGAGTGTTCAGTCGGTAAGAGAACGGGTTTCTATTTTTCTCATTATCGTAAAAATTGACCTGTTTCCTGTATATATATTTTATATTTGTATTTTTGTATTAAATTTTTATAGTTTATAAGAAGTTTCTTAGTATGTTAGATACTAAAGTTAAAGTATATTAGAACATTAATCATCTTATAGTTGTAAAAATGGTAAATACCAAAGTTATTTCGTTATTTTTAAGGTGGTACAAATATTTGCAGCTTAAAGGAATTTGATCGTCACACATTTCTTCTAGTTGAATTTTTTGACAAGTATGTTTATTGATTTCTTTGTTGATAATTCCAAAGTTTAATGGGTCAGGAGTTTGACCAATCAAGGTGTTGAAAAGAAGTAGAGTAAAAATCGGTAAAAGGCATACGAAACCTATAATTCTAATTTATAACATAAATAAATAATTAAGTAAAAAAATAACGGAAACTTTTACTGATCTAAATGTACAAACTTCCAGTTCCTGACACTCCAATACCAATGTTTTAATAATTGAGCTTTGAAACGAGTCTTAGAAAAAAATGACGATTTTTTAAGTGTTGTTGTTGCTGAAGACTGAGGAGTATTTGATATTTTTCTTTCCGTAGACTATTAAACAAAAATAAAAATAAACTTTAAATAAATTATATTTATAATTGAGCTTATCTTAAGACAAACTGTGTAATAACTCAGTAGGGAACGCGTCGTGCATAATTGTGTGCCAATGTTTTAATTTTTGTTTTCTTTCCATTGGACAATAAGCATTAAATAAATTTCTTCAGAAATCGAAAACATTAGCTATAAGTTATAACATTAGTTTATCCTTAACGCAGTATAAGTGGTTTCGATTGTAAAGAAAAAATTTCTGAAAGGAGAGTAGATTTTCTTGTTCTAATTTACAACTTAAGATTTTAGGTAGATTTAGATTACTCGATTATAACTAAAGGTAAATAATTTTTACATATACTCTGAAATGCCTTCCTAAATTTTAATGTTTATTTTATTTTAATCATTTTCGCTATTAACTTTTGTTATAAATTATGTTGACATGACTCATTACAAACGTGAAATACTTACACGTATGTGTTAACGTACTAACTTTTATTTAAGCTTATTGTAATATATTATGTATGTTTAATAGTTAAATTAATTGTTTTTACACGAAGAAGTTAATGTTTATTATATACCATATGAGCTGAATGTTTTTGACTGAGTATTAAAAATGCACTTTCTAATGTATCAGCATTACATGACTCCATAATGTCTAAAGGTGAAGCCTCTGCTAATAGAACTCCTTTTCTCATTAATCCTATCTAAAATATAGTTATGTGGTAATGTAATAAATCATCTATGATTATTGTAACTATTATTTTAAAAGAGCAAACCATGTTAGCTTGACGTGCTTCTTCGATGTAATGCGTAGTTATAATTATGGTTTTTCCACGATTGGTTAAATCTTGCAAATATGTCCAAATACTTGAAATAAAGATAAAAAAACATCTAATATTTTTTATACTGCCTTATAATTGTAAAATAAAGTAATGTTACAATTCTTTGACTTTGGACTAAAAGACTCAACATTAAAAAGTAAATTTTCTGAACTAATTTCAAATAAATCTAATTTTAAACCATTGATGTGAGAACATTTTACATATTTTCAAAATAAATGTCCATCTTAATGATGGAATTGGATTTTATAGATTTTCTGGAAGTTAATTAAAAAGTATAAACGATTTTTACATTTTTCTAGATTTTTCGCTTTAGGTCCATAATATAGAAATATTTATATTAAAAGAATATGTTTCACCTTGCACTTATTATTGGATCCACTCCAACAGTCGGTTCATCTAATATCAAAAGACTTGGATCATGTAAGAGAGCAACGCATAAAGAAAATCTCCTTTGTTGTCCACCGCTATTAAACATTTTAATAACTCTATTACAAGACATACATTTTTCAAAATTTACAAATTTAATTTATAGTACACTATATAAATCATTATTAAAAATGGTAAAAGATAATTTTTTTTTTTTAATTTTACCTCATATTTCCAAACTGTGTGGTACATGGTGGCATTTCCATAAAATTTAATAATTTTTCTCCTTTGTCAATAATTTCATCATAAGACATTTCATATAATGAACCAAAATAATGAAATGTTTCTAACATTGAAAATTCATCGTAAAGTGCTAAATCCTGAAGCAAGTAGTTGTGATAAATAGATAAATTTTCAATCCAAAAATGTATAAAATATTAATTCAAATTATAATTTAATTTTGAAAAATTATTCGTGAGAATATAATAAATTCAATAAATAACTTCGTACTTTGTATCCAAAAGCCAAAATAAAAAATTCGATTTGAGAATGTTGATGATATATGTAAAAAAAATTAATATCTGCCATCTACGAAAAATAATATGACTATTTTATCGTTAAATTATTTTTTTTGCACTCCAAAAAAATTTGTTTGTATAAAAAACTTTTGGATATTATTTACAGAATTATGAATAGATTAAATTTTATAGTTATTTTCCAAAAGTTAGATCAATTGTAAATTTTTATGAAAGAAAACATTCTTCTTTATACATATGATAAAAAATATCATAAACCTCTTTTTGTGACATATTAGCTTTTCGGTAACAAATTCTCAAAAATATGTTTTAAATTAGATTACTTGCCTGAGGCATGTATCCTATTTGTTTCTTTCGTTTTACTCCCAATCTTATTTGACCCGAGTTCAATCGAGTACGTCCAATAATTGATGATAATAAAGTTGTTTTTCCACAACCACTAGGACCTAATAAACCATATCTGAAAAGATTTATACTATTAAGTAATAAAATAGAAAATTTCTCAAGTTCAGAATAGTATATTTGAGAGGTATAGACATACATGACACCTTTAGAAACACTCATATTAAATCCATTTAAAACGGTAGTCGTATCGTATTTTTTAAACGCATTGGTTATTTTCACCATTAAATGTTCATCATTTGAAACATGTGTTGAATCGAGAATTATGTCTTCCATAGCTTATTAAGTCTACAAAATAAAAACTATTACGATTGAAAGCAAAATTTTTCAAATAAAAAACTTCGATAGAACCAATAATTGTTCCCAAGACATTAAATTTTTTAAGACAAATTATAATTTGTCAGTATATACAAAGTATATCATATCTAACTGACAACTTCTAAAATTTTTAATCCAATTCTGTTGAAATTTTCTTAAACAGTTATTGTCCTCTTAAATCATGTTTAGAGCATATATATTATTATTTATCACTATAAGAAAAAAATACAAATACAAATATGTATATTTTTTTCGAAATTTCACCATTTTTCTTTACAAAAAAATTCAATTTTCAATAACAACTTTATGATAAGTACTCAAGTTGCAAGTGTTTCAATACATAGAGTAGGTATGTAGCACAGGTAGAGTATGCTTTATAAATATACACTAGTACGAGATGCACCCATCATCACAACATATTCACTACCTCGTAAATATTTTGATATTATGAAATATTAATATATAATATATTATTTTTATTATTTATTTATTAGTGATAAACAATAATTAATATGCTTTAAATGTAATCTAAGAAGGAAATATTTATTAAAAAATCAATAAGATCAAAGGTTATGAAAGTTGTCAGTTTGATTTAATTCATTCTTTAATTATAAGCTGTGTTTTTGTCTTCTTCGTATTCCAGCTCAGTTACTTTGCAATAGATATCTGTCATGACTAGGTCGTTTTTATATTTAGTGATATAAAAACACTTTATTTAAATCCTTACTATATTTCGTCTTTGTACGATATCCATGTAAGAGAACATACGATAGTAATACAAATAAGTACAATTATTTGGCGGTAAAATATATATATAAATATATATACACACGAATACATAATATGTAATAAGTTATTTTTTAAATATTTATGAATTCACCTACAACTAATAACATGTAAAGAATATCGTGTACGTAAAATTAATCTGATAAATAACAGTACAAGGGTATACGTGTTTTACATTAAAAACATTATGTTGAGTATAAACTGAACTTAGTCCATCAAGATGATTTACAATCAAACAACACTAAAATTTATAGTTATTCAGATAATTTATATTCAACTACAATCATTATAAAAATATTAAAACAGCAAATAAAAAAAAAAAATTGTTCACAAGTGTTGTAACTAATATTTTTTACTTGAACGTGATATAAACGAGAGGGAAGATTGAACAAAACTCATTCGTCATAAAAACTTCGTATGTTCGATAAGTGACGTTTAATTAATGTCAAAAAAGTATAGCGCACCAAGTACAGGAAACAAAGTGTTACACTAATAAAACAATAATCGATGAGTGTGATGATGTCGACCGATGAGATGGTGTCAAAGCGGAGAAAAAGACATCGAACGAAACGATGCGTTTCGTAAGGTGTCACTAAGATGACTTCAACATAAATTACCGGCGGATCGTAGTCGGCTGAGCGGCACTTGTCGGACTTTGTCCCGCGGGACACGGCGTTGGTCAGTCAAACTGCGATATACACGTGATGGTGCGAAGGCTGACAAAGGAGTNGATATACACGTGATGGTGCGATGGCTGACAAAGGAGTCGTGGATCGCGGGACACTGTGAAATGCTAAAAGGATTTTTTAATTTATATGTCACTGAATAATGTGTCCATAGTAATTAAAAGTAATAATTTTATAAACTGTTAAAGAATGATGAGAGTGAACACATTCAAATTTAAGGATATGAACTTGAACGTAAGTTTAGTTATTATTTGATATTTGAACGTGAATGTTATTGGTTCGTTCATTGAAAAGTTGTCTAGTGTTTATCATTTAAATTTTAAAAATTAGTGTCTAGAATTTTTGCCATCCTTAATTAACTAATTATTTCTTATCGCAAAAAATCTTAATAAAATAAGGTCAATACCACAGTTATATAATAATTAATGTAATATTTTATTACATAATAAATACTTTTATATTTCTTGATTGTTGTAGTTTTGTAATTTTTTTTAAAAGAAAATTTTTCTATGGTGAATTTGAACAGGTTCATTTTTAAGAACTTTCCTTGCTATAAAATATTTTAGGTTAAAACTAACACGTAATGTGTGGCAATATAATTAACTGACAGGCGTTGAAACTTAATAAAAAATACCGATAAATCTGTGTAAAGTAATGTACAATCTAGGAAAATTTATGAGAATAGTTGGTCAAATTTATATAGTTATATGTAAAATTCAACAACAACTCTCATTTAACTTTTGTATTACTTTAACCATCATGTAAGTTGTAATTTGTAAAGCTATTGGGTTGAGGTAACAGTGTAAAAAACGTAAAGTGATCCAAATTGATTAGAGACCGAAATTGTAATTATAAGCGTAAAATAGTACTAATTATTTAATCTACATTATATTTAAAGATTTTTAAAGTACTTTCTCAATTTTTAGCTTCGATGCGAAGCTGAGAATGGTTTTACTAAGATGTGATTTTTTTATTTATTTTTTTTTGTGTCTGTTACCACTTTTTCTCAGCTCTCATCGAACCGATTTCTTTCAATGATACGTCAAAAGATTATATTTTTTTTATAAATCTGACTTTTTACCTGCCTACAGGGGGGGATTTAAAATGACAACTTTTTCACAAAAAATTGACTTTTTCAACTTAAATTTTGAAAGTGTTCCGGAAATTCTGACACTTTTCTAAATATATTAAATTAAAGCTAATGTAATCTACTTTATTATGTAAAAAAAAAAATTCCGGACTTTATTTTGTCTTCACGGTGAAAATGGCTACCAAATGCTATTATTGTGTGAAAATTCTCAATTTTATTTTTTACATTTTTGACTTTATAATGCTATAACTTATTGAAAAGTGTATTGATCAATATAATTTTTTTATGGGAAATACTATTTTTTAATAATTCCTTTTTCATTCGATATACTTTATCTTAATCAGGATATTAATAAGGAACTAGCAGTTTATGAAGCTTTTGGAATAATCCACCAATTTTTTAAAATTAAACACTATCTAAAGATTTGCATCGAAGCGTTTTTTTTTGATAGTGATTTTAATCACTGTCAGATATCATTATACTTGATCCAACTATGCCACGTCACCACTGTGCNACTGTCAGATATCATTATACTTGATCCAACTATGCCACGTCACCATTGTGCTGCGACCCCCCTGTTTTATATTTTTACTACCGGTTCGATAAGATTAGCTATAATTATAATATATTAAATTAAGATATAATTTTTACAGGATTTTCCTTGCTTTGTTCTATTAAAATAATAACAGGTAATACCGGTATAGATTAAAATTTGATAGTGAATTTTATTGCCATTTGTAAACATTTTATTGCAAGTTGTATTAATTATATTAATTAATGATTTCTTTCTCGAGGCGCCTTGGACGAATTTTTATTTGTTTGGACAAACGCTAGTACTTTAAATTAGATTATATTTTTGAAAAATATTCTTTAACTTGCTCAATATTTTATATTTGCTTCTAAAATGCAATTATTATTTTTGTATGTAATATGTCGAATTATAGTTATACTTGAAACATATATTTATATGATACTTGTTTAATTTTCTTAAAGTCAATATGTTTAAACATCGTATATACAAATTTATTGTAAATTTATTAAATTGTATTCATTTATTTTGCATAATATTTCTGAATAACTTATAATTTTAATAACTTAAAATTTTTGAAAAAGCTATAATAAAATTATTAAAATTTAAATCGTGATCAAGTTTGCTACATTGGTTTAACTAAATACTAATAAAATATTTTTTATATAAAATAGGGTAAATCAGTCATTAATAAATTTTCTATATACATATTTTCCAATTAAGCAAATAAACAATTGTTGCTGTAAAGTATAAAAACGATAATAAAATAAAAATAAAAACAGTTTCATTGAAAGGAAGATTATTTTCAAATGGAAGTGACGTGATATTTCCGGATAATTTAAGGAAGTTTCTAAGTAAGCTTGGTACAAATTTCAAGTTTAAATCGACAAACGCTCGCGTCAATGAGCGTTTTTGATAAATTTTTTTAACGCTCATGGTGCGCTAAAAAAATGTCCACATCCAAAAAATAATTTTCCCTGAATAACGTCAACAAGTTTTTATATTATAAAAATTCCTACATCATTGAGTAATTTTTTCAATATTGGTTAATTTTTCAATGTTTTATTATATAAGATTATGATTTATTGAATTCTGAAAATTAAAACAAGTTAAAACCTCATAAATTTATTAAAGGCTAGTTTAAGTTTAACAATTCCGGAAAAGTCACGTTTTGAAATGATTAACTAGTTTATAACAATTAATGATATAGTGACTCTACTAGATTTTTCGTTGTATTTTTGAACAATTATACATTTTTTTTAACCGTATAAGTATGATCGAAATTTTTAGTACTTATCATTAAATAATAATATTTATGTGTATTTTAATTACTGCTGTGTGGTGTGGCGGAGTGAAACATTCAGTCTTTGCCTTATCGCTGACGTTCAGCTGCATTGTTTGCTGTATTTTATGGTCACCCATCCAAGAAGTTTATTAGTGACTCGCATCTATTCCCATACTGGTTCCTTTAGCCATAATAAGGTAGAGTTGGGTAAAAAAACCCATTGCAAATCAATAACTCAACTTCAAATATTTAGGAGTATGGCTAAAGAGATGATAATGTTTTATATTATAATTATTATTTATATTTACTCGTCACGAAGATAAAATGGTCTATGCACGACAAAGGTCGAAAAGAACGGGAAGCATATTCCGGGTTTGTTATAAAAATTTTGTAAAAGTGGAATAAAAAATAATAAAAGAGACCACCTACATATGTTGAATTTTATCTAAACTCAATCTTTGAAAATGGTTTGCGTTTTTTTAGCCTATATAAAATTAAAATTTTTAAGAGTACTTTATAATGAATAAAAATAAAAACTTTACCATAATCTTTTATCTATGAGTTATATGATTTTAAAGCCGAAAATGACAAATT